TACTGTGTCTGTTCCCCTTTCGGGCTTGAACTGATGGTAAAACTAATGACATTATTTACTGTCTTTACATTTATTATGAAAGCTGAAGCTCGCTATTATGGTAAGGAGCATTACATTTCCGACGAGTGCTTGCGGTGTTCGGCCAATCACAATGCACTGGGTCAGCTGGCCAATCAGAGCAGACTGCGCTTGTCGGAAGGAGGGACTTTGTAGAAAACTAAGCGTTTGAGAGAGGCGGGGCATAGAGGACCTACAATAATGTACAGTATTTGAAAAATAATGTGTTTTTTGAACATTAAAGCATGTCAACATATTCTGTTACACCAAATACACAAAATAATGATCTTTAAAAAAGCATCATATGACCCCTTTAAGAAAAAGAAATGTATTTTGTAATAGTTTTCTTTTTTTACTTAACTGCTGATGAAACTCCAGTGTTTCCAGTGTTCCTCTTTTATTTCATCTGTTAAGTTGTGAAGTGAATGTCTGACAGCTCCGCATCAGGTAAAGGTTTCTGGTTATTTATGATTATAAACCAAATATTCAGTAGTCTAGTATTCATTTAATAATTTCAGTTCCTCTACAATCGATGTGTGCTACATGTCTACACACATGCTTATGCATGTCTTTTTCTGTACATAATTTTTTTTTTAAACAAATCAGTACAAATTATATAATTTTGCAGTTATAAAGTAGCAATTGATTATTAGCAAAAACAATGCCAACGTGCCAACAGATGATATAACATCCTACAAAGCCACATCTGTTTACTTGACTATAAGTGATCATTTGTTTTATCCAGATCTCAGCAGTATGAGTGGACTTAAAGTCCTGGTTGTCATAATCTGGATGTTGAGAGGTGAGAGACTTGCTTTTGTTGATCTGTTAGGTTTTAAATATTAGTGCTAAATTAATCCATGAACAAATACTGAATACATGAGTTTCTCTGGTGTTATGAGGAATGTTGAACGTGCCCTTTGTGTTTTGATGTATGCAGGCGCTGCCAGCGACAAATGGGAAATTAAGATGCCTAAGAAAATAGATGCGATAAGTGGCTTCTGTGTTCAAATTCCATGTCAGTTTGAGATCCCCGACTCATTCAAACAGTCCCTAAACAAAATTGTTGAGGCAATTTGGAGAAAAACAAGCATAGATGGGCCAAACGTGTCTCTTCTAAAAGGAAATGTGATTGGCAACATCTTAGACAAAAATTGCACCACTGTGTTTCACAACTTTCCTGATGGATTCAGTGACACATTTTTCTTCAGACTTCAGGGTCCTGAACCTCTCTTGTACACATTTCAGCAAGGAGTAGACATCACAGTCCATAAAGGTTGGAATACTTATTTTCAGAATATACAAAAAAATGCCAAAAATCATGGGAACTAAATTTATATTTACATCTACAGTATATATTTTCAGTAAGTTGTAGTTACTTTCACTTTTACATGTATTTTGGCTATGTATATATATATATATATATATATATATATATATATATATATATATATATATATATATATATACGCTGTATGTTGTGATGTTGTGGTCAAAAGTATACATATACCTTGCGGAATATGCAAAATATGAATTATTTTACCAAAATAAGAGGGATCAAAATGCATGTTATTTTATGTTTAGTACTGTCCTGATCTTCAAACCCCCAGCTCTTAACGCATCGTGTTTCCTTCTGGACCATCAGTGAATGTTTTAACCTTTTGTAATAGTTGCATATGAGTCCCTCAGTTGTTGTCAGTGTGAAACAACATGCACTCACAGGTTCCAATATGCAAAAGACGCTGGAAAACCAAAGAATTTGTGGGACCTGGAGAATGTTTCTGAAGAACAATGGGTAGTGTCACTGTTCAGGACAAACATGCCTCTTATGAACAAACATCACAAAACAAACAAACAAAAAAAGACACAGAATTAAACATCAAGCTTATGTAAAAGCTTTTTATAAATTCAGCTGTTATTTTGTCTTGTGGACTATATGTAAATATATTTTATGTAAAATATCTTACTCAAGACAGTACTAAATAATAATAATAAAAAACAGTAAGAAATTATTTTTTTATATTTATTTAAAAAAAAATAATAAAAAAATATATATTTCTGTGATGGCAAAGCTAAATTTTCAACAGCCATTACTCCAGTCAGCAATTTCAGAAGATTCTTCAGAATTCATTCTAATATTGTATGTTGATTTGGTACTCAAGTAACATTGCTTGTTACTATCAATGTTTTTTCATGATATGAAATTATGAAAGATAAAATTTTTAATAGAAAATTCAAAAGAACAGCATTTATTTGAAATGGAAATCTTTTGTGGAATTGTAAAAGTCTTTACTGTCATGTTTAAGTTAATTTTCCAAGGTATTTTGCAAGAGTGGCTGGCCCCACTCTGTGAAATAATCTCCCGACCCGAATTAACATGGATTCCACTTTAAATCCGAGTTTAAATCCAGTCTCAAAACTCATTTGTTTGTCTCAGCTTTTAACATGTAATTTTATCCTGATTTTGTTGTCTCTAATTGTTAGTAATTTTGTGTTTCTTTTTTCTGTGTATTTGTATTGTAATTATTGTACAGCACTTTGGTCGGCCTGCGGCCGTTATTAAATGTGCTTAGAAATAAACGGAACTTTAACTTGAAGGTGTATGTAAAGTTTTGATCACGACTGTTATATATATATATATAGAGAGAGAGAGAGAGAGAGAAAGAGAGAGAGAGAGAGAGAGAGAGAGAGGGGTACATGTATAAGGGTAAATGATGAGAAAAATATGGGTAAATGTATACAAACATTTTTTAATATATGTATATCAAAATATATTGCAGAAAATATTTTGTATTTACCCAAAATTTTAAGATTGGGAATGTATTTTTATGCCCCTTGAAGTACATTTTGCATTTATTTATTGCTGTATGGGTCTGGTGGACACATGCACTAATGTGTTTACTCTCTTCTCATTTGTAAGATGTTCCCCCACCTATCTTGAGCTCAAATGTTCAGGTGATGGAAGTTCTAGAGGGCACCAGCTTGACACTGACCTGCTCCACTGTGATCTCATGTCCCTCAATCCAACCTCAGATGCAGTGGAACCCACAGCTAGGAGAACAGCTCACACCAGCCCTGCAGGTGAAATGTAGCATGAGGCAAATCTTGATGTTTGTAAACTACACAGTTCTGTATCCTGAAATGTAATAAAATCCTTGTATTTCTCTTAAGGAGGATGAATTTGGACAGACACTGTTGGTCTCCTCTCAGATGTTCAATGCAACTCCTCTAATTGACCGCCTGAAAATCTCCTGCTCTCTTTTGTACTCTCAGGGCACCAAAAGACCAGCTGAAAGCAGCGTTACCCTTAGAGTGTTGTGTATGTGAAACAGAGAAAGAAAGCAATCATAAAGCATAAAATCAATTATTTCTATTTATGAGTGAATATTATTATGAGTACTGTGCTGTATTACTCACAAACAAAAATGCAGTGTGTTTTTAACATTTTGACAAATGGTGGGGTCCAAAAGTACATAGAGTATGCTACAGCTTTTTAGATTCATTTTATTTAATTCAGTTAAACTTAATAAAAATCATATTTTTATTACAAATTATTACCAGAATAGCAATTGGAATGAACTTGAATTTCAGAATGTCTTAGTGATTTGTCTCTTCTTTGCTTTTTGTGTTTGTGTAAAACCTGATGATGATATTCAGCATGATTCGAGAATGATCCAAAGAAAATCTGCTGGACTTTTGGACCCCATTGTATGAAAATGTCTAAGCAAGTATTATGTAAAGGAAACTGGTCAAACTTGTCTTTCAGATGCTCCCAGAAACACCATAGCCCTGGTCAGTCCATCGGATCCAGTGTCTGAAGGCAGTGTGGTGGTGCTGAGCTGTCATAGTGATGCCAACCCTGCAGTTCAGCGCTATGAGTGGTACAAAGACAGTGGATCTGGAAAGCTAGAGTTACAGAATCAAGGACAGACTCTAACATTGATAGCCAGAAGTACCGTTCAGGGTCTATATGTCTGCGAGGTCTACAACAACCACGGGACTGAACGATCGAGGCCTATCGCTGTGGACATAAATAGTAAATATCTTTCTGTTAGCAGAAACTTTACTAAGTTAACTTTATACTTTCTTTCAGTAGGCTAGCTGTTTTCAACGAGAAACTTTTTTCATTGAGTAGTAGTGTAGCGTGATAAAACTGAGCAATCTGAAGTAATAATTAAATATACTTAACATAGTATGTACAATCTCTTTCTCGTTCGAAGCATGGGAAGTCCAGTTCATTTAAGCTGTTAAAATGATTCACGACGGTTCATTTGAATCCTTGCAAAGATTGTAGCGTGTCTTCCGTCTTCTTTTATATATATATATATATATATATAAAGATATATACAAAATATGTTTTTTGCTTGATAATAGCTTCAATTAACTGCTTTTTTATTAGTAAGCAATAGCTGTAAACAAAAAAAAACTTGACTCAGTATCATGTGTAAGACACAACATGTCAAACCATAACGTGAGCAATGGAGAATTCCAGTGAGTAGCAATGGAAAATAATGATTACTGTGTCAACACTCATGTTTATTCAATTCAAGGGGTAAGACATTTTTTGTTTGCTTACGCCCCTTGATGTTAAATCAAAACTTTTTTGTTTTCTTGTTTACATGTCCAGGAGCTTACTGTATGCTTTCTTTTCATGATCTTGGACATCTTTATGTGTCATTGACCCATAATCACTTTAGTACAGTGATTTAATCTATGCTTGACTAATAGTGAAGGTGATTCATGGCAGACAGACTCTTTGGAAAAATTGGTGGCAGTGTTGATGTGGCTGCATAGGGGGCGGTAACTGGACATATGGTCAGTTCCTGCAGCAATTAAATCAGAAACTGCTTCAAAACCACATCAAAATACATTCGTCAGAGTATCAGTGGGCATTTAGTTGATGTGTACACTTTAAGCTTCAGAATGTTCATTCTCAGACCATTTGTAACTGCAATGTGGAAAGCAATGTGTTTTATGTGAACTTGAGTTATGTATCTTCTTGGGTGTTCTGGTATGCAAGTAAATTTCATAATATGTGTCTGTGTGTCATAATATAGTGACGTGAAATGAGCTACAGCTTTTTCCTTGTTTCTGTCTGATTCAGGTTGCCAGTGCTCCATTGTATCGTACATTGTATGTGGACTTCTGACTCTTTTCTTAATTCTTATTACTGCAGTGGATTTGGTCAAATACAAAAGGTGGGTTTTGAGAAGTGATTACAAACAGCAAGATGTTTGGCATCCATAATGTGAAGTTCAGCCTGTTTTTATACATAATTCAGTGTATGAAGATCAGCTGCAATGTACAGACATGTATTTCCTTCAAACACGACGTTTTAATTGCTACTTAATTTATATGCCTATTATAATTTTTTTTATTATTTTTTCAGCCTGTTAAAAAGACTTCAAGTAAGTATGACACCATCATAAATCATATAAGCAGATAACAGATAAATCAAGCATTCTGTGTTAAATCAGGCCTCGTAGTCAATCTCTGCTATCAGCTGACTGGAAAATTCAAACCCAGCCCCTATCAGCTGATCCAATTCCTATGCACTTTTAAACAGGGCGCCTTACTTAAACGCAGCTTCAGTCAGCTTGCTTTGCTCCTTCCTTTGCACGCTGCTTTGCAGCCCATCTCCTCCTTCAACTTTTAACTTAATGTCATTCCGTTGTCATAGTTGCATGCTCTGTTCTCGATTTTTGTGCTGCTCTCTTATTGTTAAAATCATAAAATGGGAGGGTTGCCCCCAAAGCTGCTGCCATTTGCCTGTCTTAGCTTTCATTGAGCTCATGAAAAGGACAGGGAAATTAGAATAGAGCCATACCGCCAAATGTAACTTTGCAAACATGCCAATAAAGTTGAAGTTAAAGGTTTGTCTATGGTTTTCTCTTTGACTTAAGAGGTCCTGATTGAAATAGAATATCATAGCACAAACTTTGCTTTCAGGCAAATTCGTAGAGCACAAACTAGGGTGTGCAAGATTTATTATCTAAATTCACCAGATGCTAGGTATTTGTCATTTTCAAAGACCCTTTAGTTGTATTTGTCTTTCATACTGTTAGGCGTCTGAAAGTTTGCGAGGACCCATGACCTACGACACCCTCCACGGGACCAGTGACTCAGTGTACAATGTAATACAGGTCAGTGTTCTCATATACATTTTTGCCCTGTTCATATTACATATGAAGTTAATATGCAGAAATACCTTTCCAAAAATTTAGTATTGAAGGTTATTTTGTTAAACTACACACAGAAAAACAACATTCTTCTATTTGAACTTGCTTGTGCATCTTGGCATGCAAGTGAACTTTGAAAGATGCATTGAACAGAGTTGTATTTCTTATTTCTCTGGAAAACAGCAGTTCTATTCCATGTAAGTTGTATTTAGATACTATGGGGCTTTTTCCATGACATAAATCAATCAACCGTTAAATCGACTGGCTGAGTGGTTATCAATTTCCTGAGACAGGAAGTAGATAATAATTATTTCTCAGAAAACAGGAGCTGTGCAAGCATATTCAACTCTGATAGGCTGATTACTATACTCTGCTGACATGCTGCATGTGCAAACATTTTTGCTTTGGAGTGTGGTCTTGCAAGATAGAGGGGGAAAATTTGTCCTGATTTCATACGAATTGTGATGACACAAGCTGCTGTGCCACAGTTCCAAGATGCCGACATGTCATCATTTGTCATATCCTGTTGTTATTTTAACTTTTGCCCTCAAATATATACTAAAATGTCCTTGCAGCAAACATAACATAACATGCATATTTGCATTTGCACTGCATATTATTAAAAATGTATAAGAGTGTTTTATAATGAGTGATGTGTGTATATGATGTATCCTTCTCTTTGCTGCAGACAAGGGCCAGCAAAACTGAAGACGACTATGAAAACAGAAACTATGGTAAACCTCAGCCCAAGTAGGAGTTGTGGCCTAGAAGTTAGCTAAATACAAAATACTGTGGTGTTCAGGTTGAAGACGCAGGTTCCAATCTCTCCTGGGGCCTGCATGTCTCAAGCCATTTTCTGTTATTTTTTGTTTCATATCTCTAAATGACAATAGTCCAAATAATTAATCAAATCAAAATGACAGAACTGGTATCATCTGAATCGTGTGGTCAGTACGATTTTTTTTTTTTCTGATAAATTAATTCTTTTATTCAACAAGGGTGCATCACATTGATCAAAAGTGACAAGGACATTTATAATTTTACAAAAGATTTCTATTTCAAATAAATACTGTTCTTAAAAAAAACTTATTTTCAACACTGATAATAATTGATAATAAGAAATTGTTAAGAAATGTATAATAATAAGAATAATAAACAACAAAAAAATACTAAGAAATGTTATTCATCACCAAATCAGCATGTTAGAATGATTTCTGTAAGAAATCTGAAGACTGGCGTAATGACTGCTGAAAATTCAGCTTTGTTATCACAGGAATAAATTTCATTATTAAATAATTAATTATTTAATAATATTATACAGTCATAATATTTCACAATATTGCTGTTTTACTGTCATTTTGATCAAATAAATGCAGTATTAGCATAAGAGACTTCTTTCAAAAACATTTAAAAATCTTGCCAACCCCTAAACCTTTTAACAATAGTGTATAATATCCACACAAGCTTTTCGTCTACATGTTAAATCATAGAAATAGAAAAAAAATTATATCTGAGCAGACAGGGAGGGTTGTAACACTTTCCAACACATTTGCCACAATTGCACACACACACACACACACACACACACACACACACACAAACTGTTACAGACATTGAAAGTGGGTTACAAAATTCCCTGGGTTAGTACAGAAGCATCTATCTTCTTCTTTCTCCACCACAATATTGTCCCTGGTATTTGTGTATCATGTATGTTTATGTATTTTACGTGGGTTGAAGATTTGTGACATCTACTCATAAATACTTTGGAAAATAAATGAGATAAAGATGTTTCCTCTCACTCTCACTTTCAGTCACTCCTTTAATCACTCTCTCACTCCCTCTGGCCGTCTGTCTACAACATTCTTCACATTCTGTTAGTCATTGGCAAGCGGATCAGAGGTGTGACGAAAACGGAAATCACACTCCCCTCCCCTGTCAGCTCTTTGTGATGATGTCAGTGTGATTGTGCATCACAGGAAAGTCATTATTTTACAGACAGTGGCGGGCGAACTGCACTTAAGAGGTTGTCTTTGTATATTTCCATCTACAAGAATTAAGACTAGAAAGATGATTAATATGGTAAACTTTTGACACAAGGCATGAGAGGACGAAGTAGAAATCACATGCATCATGTTAAGAAAGAGTTTTTCGAGAGCACATTTCAAAGACATTAAAAATATTTTAAGGGGAAGAAACTTCATTCTTAACCAATTTGCTTTGTTAATGTATTTCTTTTATTTTTACTGAGCTTGCTGTACAGCTCTTTGAAATAACATCATAGTTCACCAGCCAATCAGAATCAAGCATTCATATATGCTGTGGTAGCATATAAACACCTAGAAACTATTAACTATAGTGGGCTGGGAGGTTTTTCATATTCATACACATAAAAGAAGGAAAATATATAAACTTATGCTGATACCTCTGAATCACAGCTTTTTAGAACACAAACGTCTATTCTTGGAAATAAAAAAAGAAATGGAAGTGTAACACTTTTAGAAGACACAAAACAGTGAATGGGTTAAGGGTCATGGAACAATAACAATGGTGCACACGCTACAGGAAAAGTCTTGTGATGATGTCACAGATGACCAGAGCCTGGTTCAGACTCATTGATGATGACAGATGCTTGGATCATGCTCGAAAAATGTGTGTGTGAGAGCAAGTCTGTCTCTGTGAGGCCGTAGTGAGACATGCAGTCATAGTAGACTGCTATGACTAAAACTACCGTGTCCGGGCATGTTGGCCTACATCACTCAAAATAAATTAGAATAAGTAGCTGGACATTTTGGTCATTCACTGTTTTCGCAATTTCACTTTGCTCAACTGGAAATAATGTAGTTTTGCCAAACATAACAGTGGTAGGCCACAAAAGTGATTAGGGTCAGTAAAGACTGTGCGTTATGAAATCCACCGCCTTGTGATTTGTTTTGGGATTCCCCTTTATTCACAGATCTAGGACTTTTTGGACTGTAATTTTAACCCTTCCTCCTGGCCCAGCGCCTGAGAAACACATCCTGGTGGGAATTATATGCTTTTACCTCCGTATAATATTTCCTTGTTCATAAGAATAGAACAAAAAAAAACTGAGACAAAAAAAAACATTTATGACTGTAACACAGTATCCTGGTCTAGTAACTAAAAATATAATACCTTGACCATATGATCTTCCAGTGAAACAACCTATTTTCTCATGGTGATGTAACCAACGCATTAAAATATGCTTCAATCCAGTAAACAAATGATGGATTCTTTTTTGATACACGTCTTTTTTTTACACACACACACACACACACACACATATGTATACATACATATACATATGAAGAGTTCAGATGCAAAAGCCTCTAAGTGCCATCTGAAATTTTCATCTAACATGAGCATTTTTATCAGACTCCTATATTTATGTTCATTTATAGAAAAGATCTATACATTGCCATTATAATACAATTACTGAACCTAAACATAGGAGCCTGATATAAAATGCTAATTTTAGAAGAAACTATCAGATGGCACTTAGAGGCTTTTGCATCTGAACTCTTTAAAGTGTAACCCATATTAATATTATAAGAATCTTGAAGGTTCTTTTTGTAACACCCAATTTAATTTAGTATAAAAATCACATTGCTAAAAGACATAGGGCCCTATTTTAACGATCAAAGCACATGGTATATTTATATTATATATATATATATATATATATATATATATAGCCTAAATATATTTAGACAGTATATCACTTAAGCACAAGTTGGAAAAACTGAAAGAGGTAAAAAGAGTTCATCAGATGGCATCAGATTCAATGATCAGTTCATTAATAGAGGAAAGTATGTTGTTTCTGCTTGATCATGCATTACTTTTAGGAATTTAAACACCTCAAAGAATCCACCCACTTGGGCTAAATGTGGCTTGTCTTCTGGTGTAAACGCATCCCAATATGAAACAACGAGCTGCTGCCTACTGAGCATTAACAATCCACATCCCCGCCCCAGCGCTATGAAAAGGCTGCTGTGTCAAAAAATATGATGCAACTTCCGATGCTGCAGACTAATGGAAGAATGGTTCGCTTGGACAAAGCATGTACTTCTAAACGTTCAATGAGGTGCATGACTCCAGCAAAAGATTAGAATTCCCTGTGGTGAGTAACATTTTTCCCACTTTTTTTGGGAAGGGCACTAAGGCGTGTTCTCCATCCATTGACTTTCCACCTGTTGCATCTGAGAAGATGAGATCATCATCATGAGATCAACCAAATCCATTACTACTTTATCACAGTTGCCCATTACTGGACATTTTCCCAAGCGCTAGAAATGAATCACGGCTGACTGTGTAGCCTACACTGTAAAAAATGACCGTGAATTTAACGGTAAAAGACTGTAAAAATGCTAGAGTAAAAACCTGTTAAATGGTTAACGGTAAATTCCCCTACTATATACGGTGAAAAACTGTATTGTACGTTACATGTATTGGACATTAATTTTACGGTAGTAGACCATTTTTGGAAGTGAAAAAGACTGTATAATTTACAGTGAATAACCGTAAATTGACATTCCCAGAATTCCCTGCGTTACATTTCAAATTTGATGTTTTTTTTGTTGAAATAACTATGTTTCTTCTTAGTTTTTTCTTATCAATTTGGTATATTAGGGTTGTGTTACACCTAGTAAAAATGCTACAGTAAAAACCTGTTAAATGGTTAACGGTAAATTCCCCTACTATATACGGTGAAAAACTGTATTGTACGTTACATGTATTGGACATTAATTTTACGGTAGTAGACCATTTTTGGAAGTGAAAAAGACTGTATAATTTACAGTGAATAACTTAATACACAAGTTTCACAATTTGAGTTGAATTACTGAAATAAATGAACTTTTCCACGACATTCTAATTTATTGAGATGCACCTGTACATGTTATTATTTAAAAGCTGCTTGTGATGGGCTTTGGTTCATCATGTGACTTTCTCATCACCATCTGCATTTGGTGGTTATCAGTGTATTACAAAGGTACAAAACAGATTTCAGTACTTCAATAGGTTGGTATATTAACATTATATCAGTTAATGAAATTACGGTATTTAACTGTAAATTTAAGTTAAAACAGTAAAACCTAAAACGTTGCTACCGTATTTTTTATGGTAAAATTCCGGCAACCACAGCTGCCGGTTTTTTACCGTAAATTTTACGGATTTTTTTTACAGTGTATAGATCAGTTCTACAATGACGTCACACAACATTAAAAATAAATATATAAATAGATTAAAAAAATACAGAGGGCAGTGAAAATACTAATAATATATATTTATACTTGTACAGTAGGGCTTTCACACTGCGCTAAACCACGAGTTATCATCGTTCTAAACCCTTATGTTAACCCCGAGTTGAAGAGCGTTTCACTCTATTAGTAAATATTATTATTTCCACTGCCTTCTGTATTTTTTATTTATTTTTATTTTATTTTATTTATTTTTATGTTGTGTGACATTGACCGTGTGGATGCATCACAGCAAAAGAGCAAATGTTTTTAGTAAATGACAGTATTGTAGAAATGATCTATACACAGTCAGCCATGACTCATTTATAGTGCATGGGAAAATGTCCAATAATGTATAAAATGTTAGAATGTAACGACTATATGTTTAGCAACAGTCACTCGAGAGCGAGTCTCGTACTCACATGTTCGGACGGTCATGGAAACACCGCGCGTTGTATAAATAGTTGTATAGCCTAATTGTTTGGGCGTTTGAGGGGAAAATGTCGAATGGTGGCGGAAAACGCGTCATTTGGAGTGAAGAGACAGCTGAAATGTTACCCTTTTTAACCCGAAAAGCCCATTCAGGAAAAAAAAAAACTTGTGTGCAGGTAGCTATGTGACACGAAAATGAGCAATGCTAGAGCCATTATGTAAACAGGCGTGCTGCGTTCGTCCTATCCGTGACACACCGCAAATATGCAAATAAAACGCTAAACCTCAGTTT